ATAAACCAGGTGTGAAATGTCAATAGTTTTGGTATTGGTCCAGATGGTTTCAGCATTTGTCACTTCCTGTACAAGTGGAATGCAAAGCAAGGTGAAAAGCTTTCAAGAAGAAAGGAAAGCTAGATTCTACTTTAAAATAAGTTTTGTCTTGAACTCTTTTAATATAATAAAGACACACACACCTTTCTGGATTTACATCATTCCTATCCATCCTGTCACCCATGAAACTATTTCTACTGCATTCCTCACTTAACTGCATTCCTTGTTCTTTTCTTCAACTGCTGCTAACGTTGCGTTTGGACTTTGTGCCTTCCCCCAGCAATGCATGCAAGAAGCATGAAGCAACCTTGGACACCATGATGCTTTGTACAAATTCAGGCTTCTAATACTTACATCTGCCCAAGGCAGCTGGTAGGAGAATTGTCCTTGAAGCAGATCTGAGTTTTGGTTTTGAGGTTGAACTATGCTCAGCAGTTCTGTCTCTGGTCACTCATGGTTCTACCTTCAATGCATTTAGTCATCTTATCTCTTCTTCAGTTCTTGATCTCAAGCACAAGCAATTTTTTTCATCATTAGTTTTTTGTGGTTTGTTTTTTTTTTTTTTTTTTTTCACCTAAAGGCAATTTACTTGGTCTAAGTAAAAGTATTTGGCACCTACATTAGCTAGGAATATCTTTTAGGAATATTTTTACAAAGCCCACGGCATTGCTGGGGTCTCCTGCCTTCAGAGGTTGTGCCCAGAAGTTGTGGCAGCAGATCTATTTAACCTATGTACCTACCATCTGATTCTGCCACACCAGAGTCCCTCTGAATCTAAGGAACAGTCTTACACATGTTTAGGTAAGTCCAGTAAGTCTTGACTGCTGCATGAAGCTGAATGCTGTGCCCACAGCCTTGCAGTCACTTAATGACTGGTTTGTGAAGAACACTACCACACTGCAGGCATCCTATGCAGAGTTGAGGAGATCTTCCCACCAGCACTACAAAAGAAACAAAACCCAGCAGCCTACAGTATATAGAACATCTTTTGATCTCTGCCTACATGGTTAAGCTTTCCACTAATTCTAAATAAACCCTAAATCAGCAAGGATTCTTCCAATTTATTTTCTAAGTTTCTATAAATGGTAATCATCTGTTGAATAATTAGATGCCTAGAAAATAAGGATGTAAAATTTTTATCCTGTAGCCCATATATGTGTTGTCTTACGTCTTAATAATTATTATTTATTTTATGAAAATTACGGAACTGATAAATATGCTTCTGGAATTCTAGATTTGAAGGCAAAAAACTCCACAAACAAACAAAAGATATAAGAAAATTCACAGACTGTTCATTTTCCTAGACTGAAGGATTGGAAAGTTTTTGCATTTACTTGTCTCAGTAGGATTCCAGTACAAAGGAGACCAGAGGAAGGGATGAAGTACTAATATTTAGAACACTTTTAACTTACAGTGACAGGCAAAATGAAACAGTGTGAAGCAGGACTGGAAACTCATTCAGCAAAATACTCTAGTGCAGCAGTTCTACATGGCAGTGACATCATAAAACCATAACAGAAGTATCCTGCTAGCTCAAAGAGTTTCAAATACTGTAATAATATATACTGCAAATGGGAAGACCCAAGGAAAAGAAAAATGAGACGGAAAGAGTGAGTCATGAAAAACCAGCTCATTAATCAAGTGAATACATGCTGACATAATAAAATGTAAAGAAAATTATTATAAGAAATGAAAGAATTAAAAATGGACTGATTCAACTTTACATTGAGTATACACTTATGACAGAGTATAACCTTCAGTGATATTCAGTTATTGTAAATAGTCTTTTGTGAAACATCTCACCGTGCTACAGTTTAGGACCATAATCATCAGTGCTACCCTCACATCATGGCTGATTTTTGTGTGTATCTACTATAGGCTTTTTTGTTTGTTTGTTTTCTTCTCATCTGTTTCTCTTTTAAAAATACAGCAGAAGCACAAAACTTCTGTCCAGTCAGAGGACGTTCTTAGTCCATACTTTTTTCCAGAAATCCTACCCAATTTCAAGTTGCAGGAAAATCAGATGAAGACTGCCCATGTATTTTGTTTCTATCTTAAAGCAAGCATTCATTGTTCTTTGGAGCAAAATCTTCTGAGTGGCAAACTAGCCATAACATCAGGATGACTTCTTAAGAAACCAAAAGAATTTAAATTGCTTATTTGCTCTGTTTAAAGAAAGCGGTTGTTAAGTCATGGTCCTTGGAAGCCTCCACAGTTCCTCAGGATCCACAGTACACTCCTATGAGCCATTTTAATAGCATGACAATTTCTGCGAGAGACTTGAGGCACTGTTGAGCACACACTGGTACAAAAGCTCCAAAAGAGCTTTTTGCTCACATCTCTCTAGTCTTTGGTGAGTGCCTCTCTGTACTGCTTTTTGGGAAGACCATGTGGTACCTTTATCCCCTCATGTCCCATGATATGGTGGGACTCCAAGTACATGGTCCAGGCCCATGAGCCTCACTGAGTGGAAGGACTGCCAGTTTTGCTCCTTACTTCACAACGCCCCTTGAGAGAAAACAGGGAAAAGCTGTGGGACCAGACTCCTCTTCCACCCAGAGACAGGGAAACACAGGATCTGCACAAGATACCCCGCTGCCCCAACCCAATGAAGCATCAGCTCGGCATCCTCCTTTCACTCCTCCCAAGTCCTGATTCATATGGCCCCTTTGCTTCCCAAAAACAGTTGGTGGCAGCAAGAGGAGCTCTTCTGCACTGGCTGGCATTTGGAAGTGCTGGTGGCAGCAAGGAGGTGAGTTGGGCAGAAGGCGCCAACTTCCATGGCTGAGCCTCACATCTCCCCCTGACCCTCTACCTTTTCCCAGCTTAAGAACTGGCACCCTGATGCAGAGTATACTCAGCAAGTGTTAGGTAGCCCAACCTGATGGTTTTGTTTCCTCCAGAAGATGAAAATGCTCTGTTAAATTAAATACTGTGAATGGGAAAACATGCCAGGATGGGGGGTGGTGTGGGGATTTCTGAGGTTTCTGTGTGTGGACTGCTGAGATTTTTTGTTTTTAAAGGCAGCGTCTGAAAAGCCAAATTGTGAGCAGTTTGCAACACACTTCCCAGACTGAAACCAGGGAACCCATTCCCAGGGTAAGGGGGTTTTGGGAAAAATTGATTGTTATGTCACGACTTCATTAGTTATGCATTTACAAAGGGTCATCTTATACATAGAAATTTCATTTTATAATTAAGATTATTATTCAAACTAGACAAAAGCACAGACATTCCCATCTTAATCTATACATCCATAACATTACTCCAACACTTTTGTGCTTTTCTTTCTTTTAATATGATCCCTTAGAAGGCATATTATTCCTTAAACAAACTAACACAAGTTCTCAAGTTATCTCAGGATAGTTATTTCAAAAGACAATGCAATATTTCATAATAAACATTTATAATCAGGTTTTTAACAAAGTAATTTATCATATAAACAAATGAATCAGACACTAAATAAATATTTGTACTGGTAAATACTAGCATTTTGCTTTTATCATGTAGGACCTGATCCTGCAAGCCCTCTGTATACATCTTTATCCCCACTGAATGATTGGTTCCATTTCTTGTTCTAATCTACTATTTTATTTTGAGCTGAGCAAATACTTCCTGGTCACTAAAGTTAAGTAATTGAAATAAGCACTGGAATACATTTGAGCAGACAATTATTTCCTTAGATGTCTTTGTAAATAATTCTTTTTTCCATGTTTATGAAATCATCGCAAACATTTATCAACAGGCATTCAGTTTCTGTTATCTGAGATGCATCAGTTAGTAGAGACCAATCAAATAAATTGTATGTTCCTTGTTCTTGGCTCTCTTATTGAACAAAGCATGACCTTTGCACGCAATTTAAAGAACAGTTTCAAAGACTTATTTAATAATTAATACTAAATTTTACTGTCTTCAGACATTTGAGCTAACAATACTGGGCTAGGAAGGCAAGAGCCTCCAGGAAAATAGCAAGCCAGGAGCTCTTCTTGGGGAGGGTATGAGTTACCTTCTATCCATTCTCATCTGCCACAATTACAATCTTACTCAAGGTAATGGGGATGGCCTTTTTCAAAGCATACGAAAAGCTACGGCCAGCCCTTTAATTATGACTTTACTCACTTCTTTTCAGGGATGCTTTTTTCCTGCATGGTACATCCAGAACAGAGAACTGCAGATAAAATACATTAACTGACCTACACACCCTCCACTGCCTTAGGAAATTTATCAGGATATCTTCATACAAATAGATGTGTCAGTGAATTCCAATCTCTCAGCTGTTTTTTGAAAGGAAACACAGGAGTCAGTTACAGCTGAAAAACTTGCAAACTTAAATTCAATAACTGCTTACTTTCTCTTGTCCAGCTCTATTTGAAATACAGTTTGAAATCTAGGGTACTGAATTTACTGATGTACCACTGAATTAATTTAAGTTTGGCTGAATTCTGATGATTTATTGGATGCCTTTGGGCTCTTACCACAGTATAACATGAAACGTTCCAAGCATGTGGCAAAAATAACAACAATTGTAACAAATTGCTGCCTGAATGGAAAAGAGGAACATATTTTGAAATGACTCTCTCTATATATCTAGCTATATATAGGGATATACGTACACACACATGCACTTATATATCCCCGTAAAACCATTTCTCTAAAGTACAGAAATTTATTTTATTATTTCTTATGTTGGTATGATTTTAAATACTTTACTCCATGAATCCACGATATGACAACTTTAGTTTGTCCAGAGATAAATCTTAACTCAGTCTTACAACCTCCATTAATATAAATATGGCACGGAACTTTGACCAGCAAGAGTAAATTTTGAAACTTAAATAATTATTCTATAATTATTTTAAAACAAATAGCTACTAAGTACCAATATTCATGGAAAATGAAAAAAAAAAAAACAAAACAAAAACAAAACACAACAAACAAAAAAAAAAACCCAACCCCAGCTTTAACTTCTAACACTCTGTATCAAGTGCAGCTTTATGAAAGGAATGTAAAATAAATTTATGTATTAGAATCTCATTCTAAAGAGAAACAGCAACTTACACTATATGTTTCAAAAAAAGAATACTGTATGCTTGCATTTTATCATAAATGACCATGTTAAGTCATAGTTTCTTCTTGCCTGCAGATGAAGGACGTTGGTTCACAAATCTTCTAAAGCATACATGAGCATTGGATTAAATCCTGCTCCTTGTGAAAATAAAGTTTATTTACACTTAGAGTGAACGGGAATGAAGAGTTAGTTATAATAAGACATTTAAGGACCTTGGTAGCCAGTACCAGTTGTATTTGCAAGTAGCTCCTCAGCTTTTCTTTTTTTTTTTTTTTTTTTAAAAAATAAAGGTACAATCATAGTTATTCATTTACTTTAAAAATTCTAAAGATGAAGAAAAGTAGCATTTATACATATAAGTTCTCATATAAATTATAAAACTCAAGTTTATCTTATAGAGTTCCATCCCCAGAAGAAGCATAAAGCACTTTTGTGGTACCTTCACCAGTAAATATTTGTATCACATCAAATCTGAGAAATTCAATAAAGATGACACTGCATCCCAGAGCTGAAAGAGAATGTTCTTCTGATGCAGTCTCTTGTGATCGATGTGCTCCATGGGATCATATATTTGCCATGACTTGACTGAATTTCAAATGAATGCAATATGAAGGAATTCACCTTACCAGTTCAGTAGGTATAAGAAACATCAGTGAACAGCAGACTCATCCCATTTGAGGTCAACAGTCTTTGGAAGACAACGTGGAGGGAGTTTAAAACTATGACAGCAAAATCAAATAATAATAACAATAATGAGGTAAACTCCTCTAACAAGGCCAAATAGGCTGAGATGTCAGGAGAGAGTTCGATTGTACCTGACACCCAAATGTTTCTGTAGCCAGAGTTCAGCGAGCTGCATGGTAGAGGCAAACGTACTTGCTTTGGACCCTAAGCACATTTTATATTGTTTCGGATCTAAACTGGGGTCACACTGAACTGGATGAAAAATATGGACAACTCCTACTTCTTGACTTCTGAAAGCCTTCAAGCCAGATGTTATCACTTTAGTAAAGAGATCTACATCCTCAAGTCCCCAGCCTTGAATTGAGGTATCAAATCCACCAGCAGTAAGTAGATCACTTTTGTAAATACAGGTAATTCCAAATCCATATTCCCTCCAAAAGCCAGTTCTTTTTGTGAAAACAAAACTACTGTTAGCTGGAGGGTCGCCTCCATATATTATTTTTGGATCATACTGGCTAAAGATGATAGGGTAGTAAACCTGTTCTCCCTGAATAGTGTTATCTCTGCACCGCTGAAGGAAGTCTGATGTGAATACCAGATCAACATCACAAAACAGCAGCAAAGTGCCATTGTCAAATCGAGATGAGGCCATTTCAAGACCTAAACCTCTAGAAAACTTTCCTGCCATTGGAATCAGGGCCATATCTGCCTTAGGATACTTAATGCTGTATTCTTTCATCAGTTCTATGTGTTTGCTGGCATCTTGGCCCAACTCAGAACTGAAAAGAATTATTGCCAACTTTACATTCTGCTTGGGAATCAGACAAGTCTTCTCAAAGTTATCCATAAATCTTGAGAAAATGTCAAATCTTCCTGTGAGAGGGACAAGAATATGTATTTTCTTGTCACTGCGTCCCCCTATGTCTTTGGTGCCTTGGAACGAAGAAGAAAAAATCTTTAAGGTATTTGAAACAAAAGAGAAAGATTGAGCATCAGTGTGGGTATTCTCCAACAGACTTCTTATATCCAGCTCCTCTGCTTCTTTGAAGAAAGGTTTGCTAAACAACTGTTGAAGGTAAGCATGACGTCTCACTGGAACTGTAACTTTTCTTCCTTTGTGCCTTTTGTACAAAAGCAGTAAATCCAGGATGTACTCCACTCCATGCAGAGGATCCACCCTGCGGTAGCCATACTGTATTTCCTTGAAATCAATGAGCCTTCCTCTAGATCTAGAGTTCTCATTTATCATTTCCATGACTTGCATCACAGTGTCATCCAGTGCAGCCCGCAGGACACTGCTCAGGCTCTGACGGGGTGGCTGGTTCTCCATCATGGAGAATAGAAATTTTCCTGTCAGGAACTCCCACTCGATGACTTCATCCCTTTCACGGGGCTGTAAATGACTGAAAGATGGCATCACTCCCAGTTGCTGATCTTCCTTATTTACTTCACTGTTACTGAGCTTGCTCATCAGGGCACTTTCTCTATGGAGCTGGATGGTTCGATAGCGCAGTTCAGAAATTTTGCGACTCAGTATGTAATTGTGAAGCCTGTATTGGTAGGCCGGTCTTTTGTTTGGATGAAGTGTTATAGCTGTGTGAATCTTGCTGTTGTGAAGATCTTGAATGTAACCCTTGCGGTTGTGTTCATAGTTTTCATGGAACAACTGCTGCATCTAGGAAGAGACAGAGAGGGGGAAAAAAAAAAAAAAAAGAGATTAAGTGGAAGTGCTTCTATGGACAAAAGAACATACATTGGTACTGTCGATCATTACCATTTATTATAGATCATGGCTATTTTTAGGCACAGAACTTCAAAGTATTCAGTAGGAATTATTTATACTCTTTTGGTCTCAGTTTCAGTACTGTCCACAGTAAGCAAATATTGTTCTCTAACTAAACAGAAGGTCAGATCTTGGATTTATCTTTACTTCATCTAACTTCAAAACTATATGAAAAACACTTAACCAAAGGTCTGTAGGCAGTATTTCTGAGTTCCTAGGTCAAGGCTGAATGCTGCTATGCACAAAACACTTAAGTCAACACCTACATCTAAATGCTTATTAGCACAGATCCTTACTAAAATGTTTGCAACACTGATGATGTTTTTTAAGAGGACCTTGGATTTATGTCTATGGAATTGTGCCAGGTTTCTGTGGCAGGGGTTTTTGGTAGTGGGGGAAAGGACTACAGCAGTGGCTCCCTGTGAGAAGCTTCACAAAGCTCCCCTGGCTCCAAGTTGCACCTGCCTCTGGCTAAGGTTGAGCCAATTAGCAATGGTGACTGTGCCTCTGGAATAAAGTATTTAAGACCATGAACCTGGGAGGAGGTTCAGACTTGTTAAGAGGAGTTACAGGAAGAACACATATGCAAACACCGAGGTCAGAGGAACATAGGAGGAAGAAGGGAAGGAGGTGTGCTGGAGCAGAGAGCCCCGCTGTGTCCCATAGTGAGATGCCAGGGCTGCCCCCCTGCCACCCAGGGAGGATGATGGTAGAGCAGATGCCCACCTGCAACCTGTGGAGGACTCCACACTGGAGCACATGGCTGTGCTTAAAGGAGGCCAGGACTCTGAGGGAAGAAGAAGCCCCCACAGTTGTAATTTGGTGCTGGGAGGACTGCAAGATGTGGGCGTGACCCACGCCGGAGCAGCACAGGAATGGCTGTACCCCTTGGGAAGAAGTCATGACAGAGGAAGTTGATGGAGGACTGTCTGCCATGAGAGGAGAGCCACATGGACCAGGGAAGAATGAAAAGGAGTGCTTCCCCCCACTTGCCGGTAGAAAGAAGCTGTGAACTGACTGCACCCCTCCTTCCCTGCCCCCTGTGCCACTGAGAGGGGCAGGAAGAGATACCAGGAATAAAACTGAGCACAGGAAGAAGGGAGGGGTGGGGGGAGAAGTTTTTAAGTTGTGGTAATGCTTCTCACTGTCCCACTCTGTCTGTTACGTGGTGTTCTTTGTGTTTTGAATTAAATTTTTAATTAATTTAATTAAATTTTATTTCCCTAATGAGTCTGTCTTATGCCTGTAATTGTAATGAATGAGATACCTCTCCCTGTCTTTGACTCAATTCCCGAGCCTTTTGCTTCATTTTCTCCTTCCCAGGACTGGGAGGAAGGGCTGTGTAGTGCTCAGTTGCCTTCTGAGCCCAAACCATGACAGGAGCACAAAACTGCATGAATTTCCTACAAACATATGTAAATGGATAGTCCTACTTAACATTCAAAAACTGAATGCACTTAATTTCAACAAAACATGTTTTTTCCCCATGCCAATAAAGAATTCAGTGACTGAAACATAACCATTGGAATATGTGTGTTTGAGGGATACATACAATACAGTATGTCAATTAAACTATAGATCATGTTAGCATCACTCATCCTGAGTAATTTTCAATGTATTTCTGTGGCAAGAAAAGAAATACTTCTGTCAAATTTGTAATTGTAATATATTCTAAACAGTAGATACATTTTATGGCTGAAGTGCAGGTCTAGGATTTAAAGTATTTGTCCTTTACACCTTTCTATGCTAACAGCTAAACTATGAGCAAATCATAAAACTTTCTCTGACTTAGTTTCATCCCTAAAAGAAAACTTAGCTCATTATTAATTTAATGTGATGCCTATTTATTCTTAAATAGGAAGTGATATGGAGGAGTAAAATATTAACATCATAAATACATATAAGACCCACTGCTCTTTGCTAAGCTAACATCTACTAACTCCAGAGAAACAGAATTATTTCCCATGAGTAGCAAATAAAGTACAATACAAGAAGCTGCTCTTTTTCATCTGCAAACAGACTGGACTATAATTAATACATGAGGAGTATGTGTTAATTAGATAGAAAACGTTGTTCAGGAAGGTGTTGTAAGCTTGAGCTATAATCAGATTTTGAGATGGGTATTGAAGTTTGTCTTTTATACACAGGAAATCAAGGTCAGGTCTCATGGCTCAGTGTCTCAGACTCAAAACATATAGCTTATTTTATGGCAATTCTTTCTAGAACAGAGGCTTTGCTACTAGAAGTAATATTAAGCATAGGGCTATAAATGTAAAATAACTCCTAATAAGAGCCATGACAATTACTCAAAACATGTTAGCATGTATGAAAACCAGAAATTTAACACAAAATTTCTGGAATCTCCCTCCCACCTCATTCAGATCCCAAATGACTCTACTTGAGCAAACATTGCTACTATTAGTCATGGCAGCATTTTTGAGGCTAGAGTCATAAAACAGAGAAAAGAAACAGCCCAATTCTGATAACTACCTTAAGATATCTTAAATTTGCCTTTAACAAAACAGGTAAGTCTGCTATATCAAAGTGACAGTGATTGTGAAAAAACATACGTAGTTACAAAATGACTCAAATACTCCTTATTCATAAAACTACTACCTAAAGCTGTCAGACCACATTTGTTCTGTTTCAGGAGGTGGGTATTTTGCTTGTCACGTAGATGAGATGAACCAGGGACAAGAGGTTCTGGGGAATTTCCTTGATATCACAGAGAACAGGAATGAACACCATCAGTACTGAGTCAACATTTAACCAGCAGTGATGGAAAAATTGAAATATGGCTTCCCTGGGGACAAGAGATGGACACTGGCAGGACAGGAAGATTAGAGATTAGGGACTGAGTTAGAAAAAAGTCCCTGGGAAAGGGCTGGGTAAGGATATTTGCTCTTTAGAAGAATTATTTTTCCTTCTCCCTCTACAGTTTACATTTTGAATAATGAAAAAAGATCAGCTATTCAGGTGGTATTTCCATCTCTTCTGTTTTAAGTCACACCCCTTTCCTGGCCTCTTTTATTTAAAGCTGTCTACTGTGTGCTCTGCAAAGTGACTGTGGTTTTATATTCTCCACTTTTTATTGAATCCATGAATTTTATTTTTAGAATTTCACATTAAAATCCCCTCACAGGAAAATAAAGAAAAAGAAAATGTCTAACATTGAAAACAAAAGAAAGAAGGCTGGTTGCTGAATGGCGCCAGAATTCCCCATAAACCCTGACACTCTACTCTTTCCTAAATCCTCTAATCATAAAGAATCACTTCAGTTTTTCATCATCCACAATGAAGAATGGTATTTGAGTATAACTGAAACAACCATTAACTACATTTACACATTTAATTTATGATACCTAAATTTTCACAAATACATTTTATTTAAAGTAGTATAATGTATTTTATCCAAGAAATTTTTAACAAATGACAAACTATCACTGTAAAACTAAATGCTGCCCTCCTATTGTGAAAATTCTTCTGTGACTCTTGACTGACTACAAGCTCATCTTCACAGCAAATTCATCAGCAATGCTTATTTAAGAGGAATATTCTGTTAACATAAATACCACATTTTTCTTACATTCCAATTTCAGATGCCTTGGTTTATTAGATATGCTCCACTAAAATCATAGCAAGAGGATGTACTCCATTATACTAATGATTTTGGTTTTGATAATCAACAACAGATTAACAGCAGCAATCAAAAAAAGTTTCAAATCAACACAGTAATGCAGTATTATCACACATATTCAAAACTGTATTAATCCATTTTAAATTATATTACTTTTGGTTCATAGACTGAATAAAGACAAACCAGTTCAGAACAAATATGACACTGAAATCATAAACTCTGAAGATAGCAGGTTTTAATCTTGGTGCCATGCAGAAATTTGTTTTCAATATTGAAGGACAAAAATGTCTTTTTACAACTCAAATCATTAACATATAGATGAAAGCAATTCAATGGATTCCTAACTTTTCTTTGAATTTTCTAAGCAAGGTGGTCAAACCTAGGAGGCAAAAGAAAGATGATTAAGTTTCCTGGAGAATGGATCTGTGCAAGGGCTGGAATCAGTCAATGCAGTCATAAGTGATCTGGAAAAGGAGGTGATATGGGACGTGGCAAGATTTACTGAATATAAATTAAAATTATTTAGTGTGGTTAAAAGTAAACCTGTCTGCAAAAATTCTCATTATTTTGAATGGCTAGGTAATAAAATGACAGATTAAATTCTGTCTAGATAAATGCAAAGTACACGTGAAGAAGGCAATCCTAATTATACCTGAAGAATGTTGGATTGTGTGCAAGCTGTTAGCACTCTGGAAAGAGAACCTAGTTGCACAGTAGGCAATTCTGTGCAAATGTTCAGTAGTGAGGATAGAAAAAGCAAATAGCATGAGGACAAGTCTTGAGTGAATCAGAAACATCATTATATGGTTGTGTTCATAGTGCACCTGAATCTGGAAGGCTGTGGGCACCTCGTCAATATTGTGATATACCATCTGAAATTAATATATGTCTGAGTAGAAGGGTACTAACCAAGACCACCAGATGATCACGTGTGGATTGTTAGGTGAATATATGATGAGGGCAAAAAGGAGTAATCCAAAGAGGGCCAACCCCAACTATGAAGTCAGTAGCACCATAGGGATATGGATAGGTATAATCACTATTTCTTCTCACATAAAGAACTATGGCACATACAGTGACGCTCTCAAGGCTCAAAAACAGAAAAGGAAATACTTGTGTAGCTCAACCATAGAACTTACTGGCCCAGAAAGCTTTTGATGGTAAAATTTTGCATGGCTTCAAAGAATGAGCCAACAGTTTACATTGCTATGTTAAAAGCAAAGTACGCTTTCTCCACAACACTGCTGAACTACAG